TTTTTTAAAGGAAACTGTAAGTTACACTGTGGTTAAGACTTGTATCTTCACCCTTGAAAAAGCCCACATTCTATCACAGTGATGTATGGTCAGACTTAACAGCCCCAATTGTTAAACACTTGGATCAAGTCATAACCAGTTTTATTGCAAAAGGACCCTGTACACATTTATCAATTCTAGTACCTTAATAGCTACCCAACAAGTCATTAACATACAGAAACATGCATCATGAGAAGCAAGAAGTATCACCCATCCCTTCTGCATATTAGCAACTTGTCACTCCTGAGCAACAGTGCTCATATCACTGAGGTCTGTGAACAGTCACTTTTCGCATTCATCCTGAGTGAAAGATGGAATGACTTAAGTACAAATGCAACATATTATAAACAATTTCTTACAAAAAAAAGTCACAAATTAAACCAAAGTATTTTACAGAATTTACTACAAAACGCCGTAAAAACTGCCTTCACTTAAGCTCTCTCCCCCCGTATCCGGCGAGCCAACTGGATGTCTTTGGGCATGATGGTGACTCTCTTAGCGTGGATGGCACACAGGTTAGTATCTTCGAACAGACCCACCAGGTACGCTTCACTAGCCTCCTGTTGAGGACAAGAGCCACACTATTAATGCCCCTAGGAGAGCGGAAACTGCCCAGCCCTTTCCCGGCCCTCAGGTCTTTGTCTTGTTACCTGCAGCGCACCGATGGCAGCGCTCTGAAACCTCAGGTCGGTTTTGAAATCCTGCGCGATCTCCCTCACCAACCTCTGGAAAGGCAGCTTCCGGATGAGCAGTTCGGTCGACTTCTGGTAACGACGAATCTCTCGAAGCGCTACTGTCCCGGGCCTGCAGCGAACAGGGGACCGGTGAGCGGGCGCCGCCGCACAAAGCCGGCCGCCGCCGGGCCATTGTTTCCCCGCCAGGCCTACCTGTAGCGATGAGGTTTCTTCACCCCGCCGGTAGAGGGAGCGCTTTTCCTGGCAGCTTTCGTGGCCAGCTGTTTGCGGGGGGCTTTCCCACCAGTGGATTTACGAGCAGTCTGCTTGGTTCGGGCCATTTTCTTTTACCTGAGAAAGACACCCGGAAATAAGGCGGCCGCGCTCTCCCGGGGGTCGCCCCCTAGGTCGTCCCCCGGGGCTGCGAGAGGAAGCAACAAGCCCCGGCCTCTCCGCCTGGACTCCCGCCTCCCCGCGCCCCAGCTCGCGGCGGCAGATGGCCGAGGGCCTCCACCTCCTCCCCCTCCCCTAATGACTCAGGCTGCGAGAAGCGGCAGCCTCCCTCGGGAAAGGGGGGGCGCGGGGAGGAGTCACTTCCCTCCCTCGACGGGCGGAGACCCGACTGCCCGGAACCCAGCGTCTGGGCCTCTGAATCACCTCCGGGAAGAAGGCGGGAACGCGATTCCGGAACCAAACCCCAAAGGGAAACCTCCCGGCGCCATACCGGACCCGACGCCAGTGGCCCCAGCAGCCCCGCCGCTCGGCTCCCAACGGTCGCAGCCCGCGGCGCTAACGGCTGGCAGAACCTGAAATCGCGGGTAAACCCACAAACGCTTACCCAACGCCGAAGTTTTAGGCCACTTCTCCGACCGCCGCGCCGCTTCCGCTACCCAAGGAAGAGCCGCAGTCGACAAGCAAAGAAACAACACGACCGCAACGAACGACCAAACCGCTCTGCGCTCCAAGCCCCCTCGACGCCTCCGTTTTTATACCCACGCTTCACGCTGCGTCTCTGCGTCATAAAACCCTTATTTGCATACACCAACGACTTTTTCTATTGGTGGGCGCTTTCGCCGACGCGCTGACATCCCCCGACACAAAGGCCGTGCTTCGGCTCTGTTCCTTGATTGGTGCATATCTAGGACGCTGATTGGCTGTTAAAGTGGCCTAATGATTGGCTAGATGCAAAGAGGAATGGACGAATCACAGTTTAGCACTAAGCGGCTCTTCTGATTGGATAAAATGGAGCTATGTTTGGATCCTTCCCTTGGTTCCAAAGCTCTACAATAGAAAGTCAATGCAAATGAATTGCATTGGTCTCTATCAGGATGAGCAGGACTCTAAACTTACAGGCATCAAGCGAAAGTAATGCACGCGGAGAGGCTACTTTAACAAAATTTTTGTAAATATTTTCCGATGTAAAATAAAATGTGTTCCCTGGATTATTTCCTTTTCATAATGTTTAGATCGTTAGTGTGAGAATTAGAATCCAGTAAATCATGTTATATTATCAAGTATTTCATATATCATGCACATACATTTTTAACCAAAAGCAGATCCTTTGGTTGCGTGGGAAGGGGTAAATAATAGATACAAATAAACATGTTAATAAATTATTTTAGAGGAACTTTTGTTGAGTTTTTAAGCTGTCACAAAATATTTTGTGATTTCAATATGCTTAAACAAGAAGTAACCTACTAAGTAACATGTTACTTGACTCATGTAATTCAACTGAATGAAATGACTACAGCCAGAAAGGAAATAGTCTTACTATAGTCTTTGCATGTCGATAAAGAAAAAACGAAAGATAACTAACCTAAATATGTGCCCTTTTGTTTAATAGCATATCCTGACAGGTATTACTTCTGAAGAAACATGACAAATGTGTAAACATGCTAATCTCTACCTTTGCCTAAGTAAATGTCTTGGATGTTCCTCAATTGCCTCAAGTATATAAAATACCAAAGCAGGCTTAAGGTTAAGACTAGCCAAGCAAAGCCCAGAAAATTGAAATAGAGCCTTGGACATTGTACTCTATAGTTCTGATGCTTGGTTCAACAAATATTCTATACTATTTAAAAAAAAAAAAAGGAGCTGAAACAGGTATATATAGGTTTCAACTAAGATAATTTTTTTCTTTTTTGAGGCAAAGTTTTGCTCTCCTTGCCCACACTGGAATGTAATGGTATGTTTTCGGCTCACCGAAACCTCCACCTCCCGGGTTCAGGCAATTCTCCTGCCTCAGCCTCCCAAGTAGTTGGGATCACAGGCATGTGCCAAGGTGATCCATCCACCTCGGCCTCTCAAAGTGCTAGGATTACAGGCCTGAGCCACTGCGACCAGCCAAGGTAATTTTTTTTTGAAGCAGGGTCTTGTCCTGTCACCCAGGCTAGAGTTCAGTGGTGTGGGGACCACACCTCACTGCAGCCTTGACCTCCTAGACTCAAGCCATCCTTCTGCCTCAGCCTCCCCAAGCGATAGGATTACAGGCATAAGCCACCAGGCCTGGCCGTCAGAGAATTATAGTACATAAGTACAAATATTAGTATCTCAATATTTACTTGCCACACCAATGGTCAACTATCATACCGAGAAAAAAATGCACAATTCGTAAAAGTAGCTCATCTTCATCTCAATCTCTGGTACCAAATTCCTGTCATTATTTCAGCCTTTTTAATCTTAACATGCACATTATTTAATCATCATATACCTAAATTTACTGCTTAACCAACTTTGATTTCTGCCTTTTACTCAAAATTTGAGGTAGGGAAAAATTACATGATCTTTATTCATGCCATGCTGAGAAGAGAAACCTAGGGATTCTCATACTTTGTTCTCAGACCTGTGTTAAGAAACGGGACTGTTAGGCCGGGCACGGTGGCTCAAGCCTGTAATCCCAGCACATTGGGAGGCCGAGGCGGGTGGATCACGAGGTCAAGAAATCGAGACCATCCTGGTCAACATGGTGAAACCTCGTCTCTACTAAAAATACAAAAAAAAAAATTAGCTGGGCATGGTGGCACGTGCCTGTAATCCCAGCTACTAAGGAGGCTGAGGCAGGAGAATTGCCTGAACCCAGGAGGCGGAGGTTGCGGTGAGCCGAGATCGCACCATTGCACTCCAGCCTGGGTAACAAGAGCGAAACTCCGTCTCAAGAAAAAAAAAAAAAAAAAAAAAAAAAGAAAGAAAGAAACGGGACTGTTTAAACACAGATATAAGGCTGTCAAATTCTCTGGGATGCAACCAGAAAAATGACTTGTCATCTTTCTTTTTTTGACTACTCCAATGGCCTGGAGGAGAAATGGGCTTCTAAATTGGTCCCCGATTTGTGCTCCAGGATTCTTCTAGGTGATACAGAACCTTGTCATTTCCATGTCTCCCTGTGGATGGACAATTTATTTCCAGTTTTGCTAATTATTAGAAACTAAAGCCACCTGGAGAAAAAAGGTATGAATTTACATTTATCCATTTAAGGATGATTAGTGAAATAGGCTGTCTCTCTTACTTGGTAGTCACACAGGTATGTTTCACTTTTTCCAAATTGGTATAAGGGAAGAACAACAAGCAACACAGGAAGTGAGGAAGAAGCAAAAATGTCTATACAATGAAAACAATAGAAAAAAACCCAATAGTTGGCCGGGCGCGGTGGCTCAAGCCTGTAACCCCAGCACTTTGGGAGGCCGAGGTGGGTGGATCACGAGGTCAAGAGATCGAGACCATCCTGGTCAACATAGTGAAACTCCGTCTCTACTAAAAATACAAAAAACATCAGCTGGGCATGGTGGCGCGTGCCTGTGATCCCAGCTACTCAGGAGGTTGAGGCAGGAGAATTGCCTGAACCCAGAAGGTGGAGGTTGCGGTGAGCCGAGATCGCACCATTGCACTCCAGCCTGGGTAACAAGAGCGAAACTCCGTCTCAAAAAAAAAAACAAAAAAAACTCAATAGCAAATGTGATGTAGCCTGTAGGCTACTGTCCTGGTTCCTCTTCTGTCAACAACTTGCTGAGTAATTTTTGGCGAGTTTCTTAGCTTCTCTTGGTTTCGGTTTCCTCTTTTGTAAATTAAGCAGTTTGGATGATATCATCCCCCAATTCTACCAGGACATACTTATTCTGAAGCTCATGGTATACATTTATTATTTAAAAATTAGTGCTGTGAACTCTATTTCTTTTTTTTTTTTTAACTTCATTAAAACAAATTTTTTTTTAAGACAGGGTTTCACCATATTGGTCAGTCTGGTGTCAAACTCCTGACCTCAGGTGATTCGCCTGCCTCAATCAGCCTCCCAAAGTTCTGGGATTA